AAGATGAGCGCGAACTGCTCAAGGCGGGAGGCGGAGTGGCGGATGGTTGAGAGGGGACAAGGAGGACAGCAGTGGTTGACGTGGCTGAAGATGCTGGACCAGGAGGAGGCTGGCTGCTTAGAGTAGGCGAGCTGCTTGTACTCATGTGTTGATCCCATAGGCGTTTGTGATGTGAGATCATGTGCCTATGCAAAGCAGTTGTACCTAGGTGGGTGTTGGACTTCCCACGACTCAGTTTCTTTTGCACAGGTTGCAAATGGCATTGCTGTTGTCAGAGGCAGACACACAAAAAAAATTCCACACTGCTGAGCTCTGCAATGACGGCATTCTGGTGGTATGATATGAGTGGCAATGTAAACTGGCAGAGCAGCACACGCTGTAGGGCTGACACACCCGCTTTAAGGACACTGACTGCTATTCAATCTATAACAGTGAAAAAGTGTTGTTTTTAAATCCAAGCTATTGTGACACCAGATTCATGGTGGCACTGGTCACCGATCCACTGTTAGCGTAACACACCCGCTTTAAGGACACTGACTGCCATTCAATCTATAACAGTGAAAAAAGTGGTTGTTTTTTTTTAAATACAAGCTTTGTGTCACCAGATCTAAGTGGTGGCAATGGTCACCGTATCCACTGTTAGCGTAACACACCCGCTTTAAGGACACTGACTGCTATTCAATCTATAAGTGAAAAAAGTGTTTTTTGTTTTTAAATACAAGCTTTGAGTCACCAGATCTAAGTGGTGGCACTGGTCACCGTATCCACTGTTAGCGTAACACACCCGCTTTAAGGACACTGACTGCTATTCAATCTATAACAGTGAAAAGTTTTTTGTTTTTAAATGCAAGCTATTGTGACACCAGATATGAGTGGTGGCACTGACTGGGCAAATGGGCACAGTATCCACTGTGAGCCTGACACAGAAGCTGGCAGCAGTGGCAGACCACTAACTGCTATTCAATCTATAACAGTGAAAAAAGTTTTTTGTTTTTAAATGCAAGCTATTGTGACACCAGTGAGTGAGTGGTGGCACTGGGCACAGTATCCACTGTGAGCATGACACACCCGCTTTAAGGACACTGACTGCTATTCAATCTATAACAGTGAAAACAGTTTTTTGTTTTTAAATGCAAGCTATTGTGACACCAGATATGAGTGAGTGGTGGCACTGACTGGGCAAATGGGCACAGTATCCACTGTGAGCCTGACACAGAAGCTGGCAGCAGTGGCAGACAACTAACTGCAATTACATTACACAGAAAAAAAAAAAAAAGCAGACTGATGTTCTAGCCCTAAAAGGGCTTTTTGGGGTGCTGTCCTTACAGCAGAGATCAGATGAGTCCTTCAGGACTGTAGTGGACACTGTATACCCTAACCTAGCTATGCATTTCCCTATCTAATCAACAGCAGCTACACTTTCCCTCCTCTCACTAAGCATGCAGCTTGAGAATGAATCTAAAATGGATGCTGTCCATTAGGTGGGAGGGTCTGCTAGGGAGGGTGTGCTGCTAATTGGCTGGAATGTGTCTGCTGACTGTGAGGTACAGGGTCAAAGTTTACTAAATGATGACGAATCGGGGGCGGATCGAACCGCGCATGTGTTCGCCGTCCGCGGCGGACGCGAACACGCTATGTTCGCCCGGAACTGTTCACCAGCGAACCGTTCGGTGCATCACTATTGATTACATTTTATCTTGGTTTTCCTGAATTTTCTGATGTAAATGTTTTATTTCTTTAATTTCTTTCAGGGAATTAGTCATTTATTTTTCTTAGTCTCGGTGTTCCTCTAAGATTTTTATCAGGAATTCTTTTGTTATTTCTTCTTGCTCTGAAGGGTCCGCTGGCACATCTGACCTTTCTCCATTAGAGCTATTAACTTGTACTTCATTTGTTAGTTTAATTGGTGAACTTATTCTTCTTCTTGACACTATTTTTTCTTCTACCGTTGGCGATGCGTAATAGGTCATCAACGATTTGTTTTGTGATTTTTATTTTTCTTCTTTATTAGGATTGATTTTAGACCTTAGCATTCTTGGACTGTCTATTTTGTTGCCATTTTATTTTTTCCTTATTAATTTTATTTTTATTTTTATATAATGACTAATTCTCTCTTTTTTTTTCCTGCTTTCTTGAAAAAAATATATATATATTTTCCCCACTAATAATTAGGAGATTTGTCTTCTTGAGCAGTTATCTTTTTAAAGGGGCCTTTAAAAAAAAAAAAATATATATAATATATATACATATATATATATATATATATATTTTTTAATCTCTTTCACTCCCCCCCCCTGCTTTTTTTTGCCTTTTCCCCTTTAATCCACAGTCCGATTTAATTTAAAAAATTGTTTTAGTGAATGCTTCTGCACAGTTTTATTGCTGTATTTGAGAAAGATATCTCTTTATCTTTACTTCAATTGTATATTGACCAACAATTTTTACTCATAAGCTTGCCATACTATTCGCAATCAACACATAATATATATTCACACTAAATTGCTCTTCATCCAGAATTGACATGTACGTTTTTTCCTTGTCTTTTTAAAAAATTCTTGATAGTTAGTTGGAGATTTCCTTAATAGGTAAAATATAGTTACGTTGCAAACAAAAGCGAACAAAAAAGTAAAAAAAGTTTTTTATTATACTCATTCACTAAATTACTAAATTCATATATTTACACCTTATTTACAGTATGTAGTCTTCTATTCCCCAGTCACCATATGATACTACTCACTGTTTCTTATGTTTAAGCTTTTCACATGCTTCTCCTTTTCTCTCTGTTATCTGTTAATGGAGGCTTTGTTCTAAGCTCTTAGTCTTATGCCCTCATTTACTTTGCTTTTATGTATGTGAAGATCCATTTTCCCTCTCTTTCCACTCACTATCGTGGCCGCGGCTTCCAGACTTTGCACTCCTCTTCTTGGTACTATTGTATCGCTCGTTTTTGGAAACATGTGAAAGAAACCTGATAATGACTTTCACCTCCCTCTGCTCCTCCTGTCTTATTCAAGCTGGGTCATCCAGGATACAAACACACACTGCATTCCAGTTTGTTTCCCTGTTAGCAATAGTCCAACACCGGTTGCTGGCGTTCTTGTGGCTGACCTCTTCCTTCTCTGAACACGCCCACCTCACGTCATTACGTCATCCACAATTTGTTTTTATATACTATATAGTTTTAATTTTGTAGCACCAACATAGATATATACATTGTAAAAACAGTAAAATGGTTTGGTTTTAAATCAATTTGAAACACACCATCAAGGTCAGGTTATAAAGTGGCATATGTTCATAACAATAAACAGGGAAACCAAAGTGTCTTTCTTTCAGGGAAACTTACATGGATTTAGTAGACCAAGACAGATGCTATAATGTTGTTTCCAACACAATTACACTACTGGTATATGGCTACTTAATTGGTGCTAGGATGGGTACTCTTTGGCCCAAATTTTTTGTCTCTAGAACCCACTGCTAACTCAGGCACAATTCTTGCTTGACTTTAGACCACATGGATGAGGCTAACTCCATTAGAAAATGAAGGGAAATTAAATAGATCCCTATAATTACAACAAGTGAGGCTGTATCATGCTGCCCGCGCTGCGTACCCACGTGGCGGTCGGAGAATCCGACGGCTTCTCGGCTTCCTTCTGATGCATTTTGTTGGCTGCTGCATACCTATAACATTTAAAGGGACAGTGGGAACCCTATCAGGAAAATGACTGAATATCACATACTCACATTCCGACGTCAGGTGACATGGTCCTACCTATCACAGCTTCCCAATAGGTATTCAATCTCATTTCTCCTATTCTTCATTGCCCTGTCATGGCTTCCTCTTGTTTGGTTGTCTCAGAGCACATTATTATAGTGTTATTCATTTCTTTTGATCTTGGTTTGTTTCAAACTATTCCTTATACTGGTATCCTTGACTTCTTGGATTTGTCTATTCGTTTATGTGTCTATCTGTGTTCCTGACCTTGGCTTGTCTCTGACCATTCTTTAACATTAAATTGGGCCATTCTTAGGTCCGGTAATACGTTAATCTATTTTGAAGTTACTCTGTTACTTAAGTCTGCGTGTTGGACCTCTATCTGTCCTGACAGTCGGGAAGCAAATAACATGATGCAAGGAGAAGGAACATGCCTTGGAAAGTAAGGGAACAAATCACCGAGAGGCACTGGGCACATTATATGAAAAAGAGATGTCGGTAAGTGTTATAGGAAATGAGTGTAAGACATTTGAAACAGAAATAGGAAATATGAGAAATATAGGGATCTGAAATCATAGACTGGTTGAGAATGATATGGGGAAGATGAGTGTGGGCATGATTATTTGAGAAAAGTTCAAGGAGGTGACATAAAGATAGATGGTAAGCTGTAAGGGGAAGGGATTGTCATGATTGTACTATATGAAGAATCTACAATCTATATAGTTATTACAACTGTCTATAATATACGAGGCAGCTAGTTAAACACTGACAGAAAATATACCACTATGCTTTATCTATACCCTAATAGTAACATTTCTGTAATATATAATATTGATATACTGATAACATCACAATTATAATGTGCAAAACTTCTGACTATGTTGTTGCCTATATTTATACAGCTAATACATAATTGTAATTATTTAACTATGTGGTTATTATTGTGCATTTTTTTTGTCTCCTTGTTTTGCCCCATTTAATCTTTTGTTTTTTCCTAATTATGTTTCACCCTGTGCCTAAATGTCAGCATCCTTATCATATGTCCTGGTTCCCTTCCAATTACAAGTGCACAGTTGTTTTGCAATTAAGTTGTTATTAACACAATCTTTTTAATTATTGTCATAGTAAACAGGTGGATATAGTCATATACATTACCATATCATATGTGTAAATGCCCTGGGAATTCATCATGACTGATAAGAGATAAAGGACATATGTGATGAGGTACATGTACATAGTGGCTCATGAGAGAAAGAGGGAAGAAGAATGAAGAGACATTATGATTGACAGAGAAGAAGAAGGAGATAATGTGTGGTCAGGGTGGAAGCAAGATTTATCAAGTATCTATTGGTTTATAAAAGATGCATGAAGGGAGAGATGATTCCTGATGTTGGTGTGCTAGGCATAAAGGTGCACAGATCTACTTCAGGTCACATGATGCTAGTCTACATAAGAATTCATGTCATGTGATTTTTAGCATTGATGACATATTGATGCCTGTTGCTACAAAGTGGTGTGTGCTGTAAAAGTGCTAACCAAAAACAAAATAAAATTGAACCCCGAGGCTCCAGCAGCTCAGAGGAACCAATAACAATTGTTTAAGAATTTCTTTATATTCATTAATAAAGTAACTACCAGAACCAAATGATCTGACCGGGCTATTTGCTAAAGTGAGAATTCAAAGTGAATTTCAAATTTAAAACCGGAATAGCTGAACTGAAAGCATAGCTTACTGAGAGAATTTTTCCAATTTGGACATTTTCACCTTAAATTTGAAATTCACTTTGAATTCTCACTGAAAGGAAGAACCCTGTGAGTCGTGATAAAGAGTGCAGTTCAGTGTGTTGTTTGGCAGAGGAAGCTGTGTTAAACTGTGTTCCCTAATTTCTTGTTGTCCTAAAAGGTGCAGCCCACAGTATACAACGGTTTAATAAATTGATATGATAGTCCTGGCATTCCTTGCGATGTGCTTACGCTAATATTCACTTATATTATGTTTAATGTATCCTCTTTTTCTTCTTTATAGAGTATATACAGGAAGCAGGCACTCAGAAATACACCAATCAGCTGTAAGACACAAAAACAATATACATTAAAAAACTATTTTGACCAGCTTACCAATCAATCATTTTTTTACACTTAGTATCTGTTTATTTGGTATGTAATACATGAATAATTACTATCTCCCATGCTCTAATCTGTTACTATGTTAAGAACATTATTAAAGGACAAGTATTAGCATATTATGTTCATACTTGTCCTTTTATAATACTCTACATTTTCAGTCCACCAAATTTAGAATATTAATTAACAAGGATTAAAAACTTTGTAGCTTGTAAACTTGAGCTTTTTTTCTACAGGCAGAGGGACAAATGTAAAATTTGTTATAAACTCCAGATAATCTATTTGGCTTAGAGGCAGTAGAGTTTTAGCTTTTTCTTAAAGGACAACTCAAAGCACAATAAGCAATAGAATGTGCTGTAGTGGTTATATTAGCAAGAGTGCATTGATGCCACCCATAGTAAGCAGTCAAACATCTTAGGATAGTTTGAATTCTTACTTGAGGTCTGTTGGGCATCACTCCTCACTTCCACTATTGCCTAGACTGCCTTGTATTGTACAGAACACTTTCCGTTTTCTCAGCATTCAGTTTCATGAGAATTGCAAATTGTCCGAATTCTGGGTAAAAACCCAAACTCAGAATGGACAAATCACAAAGCAAATGAAACAGACAATGATTTGTGACTTGGAGTTCTGGCCCTCTGCACCAAAAAAAAAAAAAAAAGGATTTAAATGGTTAGGAGACAACCACTAAATGTTTGTTTGAGTTATAACAAAGTATGCTTGGGGCACCTCAATAGTGAACATTTGGAACGCAATCAATATAACAGAGTGTGGTGGGGTTTCGTCAAAGAACAGAGTTATGATATTTCCTAGGGCATGGTATATCAAACTCAAGTGTACAAGTAACAGTTATGTTGGAGAAAAGCCAGAATTGGTACACACTAGCACAGAACCCATTTGTAGGGGTGGTGTGTGGATTAGCCTCAGGCTAATCAGGGTCAGCAAGCACCCCTTGTGGAAGCCATCAGTAGTGCCCACCCTATTCCCGGTCTCCCATGGCGAATATCAATTTGACCAATCAGTCCCCAGCCTACATTGCGGAGTAAAAAACAAAAGACATATTAACTACTGCAGAGAACCACTAAACGTTGATTTTATTTAAAGATCAGATGAGAACTGACCAGTAGAGGGGGGAAGGGAGAATATACTGAGTTAGAAACAGCGGTCAGTCACTGTAGTGAGGCTTCAGATGCCTGTGGAAACTCTGAAAGTGCAAGCTTATAGATTAGTGCAGTCTTTCCTGTAGTTCAGCTCAAAATATTTCCATCTCCTCAAGAAGCTTGTTGAAGTGTTATCTTTTAATAGGGTTGTAAACAGTGTTTGTCTGTCTGGGTCTGCAGGCAATGGATGATCAGGTGAACTTCTTCCTGGTTCTGAAGCATGCCCTCTTATCCTGCACCAGTTGCATGGCACGAATCACAGAATTAGTAAGTAAGTTTGTGGATGGGGTTCTGATAATACTTCTAGAACATGGAGCCACCAGTAGTTCCATGTTAATTGCCAGGTGGCAGTTGAATAAGGAAGTGATGGGGTTACATGTTTGAGCTCCAGGCAACTCAATTTTTAAAGTATCCTTGAACTGTATGAAAATGCTGTTTAAGTCTACATCTGTGCACTAGCTATGCTCCTATGGTTTATATAAATAATATGCTAACAGAAACATCTTGTCAGTAAAACTGCGTATATATTTTTTTATAAACATGCTCTAAAGACTACATGTGTTTTATAATTTGACTAAATAGTGAAGCATTTTCTTAGAGTTTTTGTTTTGCATGAAAAACATTTTTTATTTTTTTATTGAAAAAAATAATTTAAAAAAATATGGCCGTGTTTTTAGCATATTTGACTGATAATCTAAACATTTGTGGCTAATAACAAGTTATTCATGTACTTATCATAACTGAATGACTTCTGAAGTTGATCTTTTGTGTAATTATACAAAACCTACTTTTGTAGTGCACCTTAATTTTATCAGAACACTACTGACATGTTTTTTTTTTTATTTATTTATTCTATTATATGCATAATATATGCTGCTTTATAATAAATGATAATAATAATAATAAAAATGTAAGACATTAAATATATTAAATGAGTCCTCCACAAATACTACAGTGAATTCTTGTGTGCAAAATAATGTACCCTATATTCAATGTGACATTAAAGTCATTACCAATTGCTTTATAGTTGCTGTATATTAATGCAGCTATAATCTTATTATACAAAAGGAAAACTTGACTGGTGTATTCTGGGATTTAACTTCTTGTGAATACTGTTAGAATTTTTGACACAATCAGATTTGACATTAAAGTGAATTCAAAACAAGTGTTAAAGCAAAACAAAAATTTCCCATTCCCTAACACTGACATGTCCTAATTATTTCTGAAACCAGTTAAATTTAAAATAATTTCATTTAAGATTTTTAAACTAGAATACCTAATTACCTAGCAAAGCAAAAGAGTAGATATGCAACATAATATCTTATTAGATATTTTCCTCATTTGTGTAAGAATGCTACTTGTCCAGTTGATGGCGCTGTTGTCATAGTTTTAATTTTCTCCTACCTTATTTAAAACAATATCTAGCATCTACTAAATTTCAGTCTTGGAGCGGCTTGTGAAAAATAAATTCAACTAGGGGATTATGGTGAAACATAGGAAAACCTAATAACCTAGTAAACACAGAAATCTAAAGCAAATAAACATTCACTAAATCCCTTCAATTAAAGAGTGGATGGAATTACACAGTTTTAGAGTATTGAATGTATCAATAAACATAAGATACACTGTGCATAAGAAACACATTTTCTATTGAAGCGTAAACAGTCAGTTTTCAAATGTGATTTTCAAGTCAAAAAGCCAATGATCCCTCCAGGTACTCTCCAGTAGAACCAGTCATATAAAAATGTAAAAGGAAAAGGAAAAACATTAAATGAATGAAAATACCCAAGAGGAAAAGTTAAAAATTGAACAATTTTATTAACTACAACATAAAAACCCAATTTTCCCATTATGACCAGTCCTTGCCTGTGTGCTACAGTAAAAAAAACCTTATTGAAACCTATGCAGATCAAGTATATGCTGATCAGCCACAACATTAAAACCACTGATAGGTGAAGTGGATAGCATTGATTATATGGTTACAATGGCAACTGTCAAAGGGTGGGATATATTAGGCATGCGAACAGTCGGTTCTTGAATGTCAGGAAGCAGGAAAAATGGGCAATCAAAAAGATCTTACAAAATTAAAAGACAGTTAAGGGCTGCGCCACATCTAATATGATAAAAAAGATAAAGTAAAATATAAAATAAATACTGTGAGTCTTATTCCAGATGTGCAAATTGGCACATAAAATTGTCTCTTATTCAGGAGGTAGCTTCAACTGTGGTTCCTAGGTTCTTTATATATGGGGAAGGGGTCTTGTTGCCTTTAGTCTCCATATGTGGGTGAGAAAGAGACAGAATAACCTGAAAAAAGTATTATTTGCTAATCCATTTGAAAAAGTCTGTTATGACGAAACGCGTTGTGGAAATTACTTTTTTTAATCTAATATAATAAAGGACTTTGGTTTTACAACATTTTATTGTACCAGTACTTTTTTATTTATACATTTTTCCTGTTTCTTTTAATAATAATAATAATATATCTTATTATTCTTATCTCAAAAATGTTTAACTTCATCTGCTACTACTCCCAAGCAAACCCTAGGTGGGGATTATTCCACCAACACTGTCACCACAGAGCAGTGAGCCTGCTCTACGTTTGTAAGTACAATTTTTATATTCAACACTATTATTATTGTCTTACTGAGAGCACTATCTGTGGCTATTCTTATTTTCTCTTCGAGCATCTAGACAACTACCAGTAGTGGGGATTTTACCACTATAGGCGATCCACACTAGAGCTGGTTATAGCTCTCTTAAATCTGAGTGCAATACTATTATTATTAATAACAGGCCTACTTAGCCCTTACTTACTGCACTATCAGGTTATTCTGTCTCTTTCTCACCCACATACAGAGACTAAAGACAACAAGGCCCCCCATATACAGTTGCAAGAAAAAGTATGTGAACCCTTTGGAATGATATGGATTTCTGCACAAATTGGTCATAAAATGTGATCTGATCATCATCTAAGTCACAACAATAGACACTCACAGTCTGCTTAAACTCATAACACACAAAGAATGAAATGTTGCCATGTTTTTTTTTTAACTCACCATGTAAATATTCACACTGCAGGTGGAAAAAGTATGTGAACCCCTAGACTAATGACATCTCCAAGAGCTAATTGGAGTGAGATGTCAGCCAACTGGAGTCCAATCAATGAGATAAGATTGGAGGTGTTGGTTACAGCTGCCCTGCCGTATAAAAAACACACACCTGTTCTGGGTTTGCTTTTCACAAGAAGCATTGCCTGATGTGAATGATGCCTCGCACAAAAGAGCTCTCAGAAGACCTACGATTAAGAAATGTTGACTTGCATAAAGCTGGAAAGGGTTATATAAGTATCTCCAAAAGCCTTGCTGTTCATCAGTCCACGGTAAGACAAATTGT